TCTGGGCCTCAGTTTTTTTTTTTCCTGTAAAATAAAAGGACTGGATAAAATGAAGGGATTAGATTAGATGATCTCTGAAGTTTCTTCTCATTCTCAGGTTCCTAGACAGTTTGTTCAGTTCCATGAGGCTGCTCTAGCATCCTTTGTGCTCAGTTTTCTGTTGGTAGCAGAGAAACACTGTCCTGTCTTTTATCAGCATCCGCTACCTCTGAGCCTCTTTTCAAACTTCTTCTGGCCAGTTTAATTTGATCCTGTGGGATCTGTACCCAGCCTCTTGGGCCAGGAAGCTTATCCACATAGTACAGTACTTTTCTGTGAAGACTTTTATTGCACCTACAATGTTCTGGTCTAGGCCTTTCCGGTTGTCATTCAGTCCTCTTTTCCTCTTCCCATTAGGAAGGAATTAGCCAAAGTCTTGTAATTAAAAAACACACACACACACACACACACACACACACACACACACACACACACACACACCAGTTTTCTAAACAGAAGGCTTCCTGATCGAGTATAGTTTGACAGTATAGAGTCCAGCTGAGATTTAGGCATAAATACATCAAAGCCTTCAGCAAGTTGCACTTCAGGGTCTGAGGAAGGCGATTTGAGAACAATGCTGAATCCGAGGACGTTGTTCTGCTTGCTGTAGGTGTGCTCAGCGATGGCTTGCACTGAGGACTGCTCCGAGGCTCCTGCTGCTGTCTTCTCCATTTCTACTACTTGCTATCCTATTTTTAAAAGGAATGGGACTCATATTTATTGAGCCTTTGTTTTATGTGTAGTTTGTCTCCTGATTTCTTTCCATTCTTTTGTCTTGCTCCTTGTTTTTTCACTAATTTTCCTAGTCTCAGTAAATGGTGTTGAGGCAAAATACTTAGAGTTAGAATTATGCTTTAACCTTACTTTCTTCATCCTTTACATTCTAGGAATCACTAAATCCTGTTGACTCCACTTCTAAAATAAATTTTCAGTCATCTAACTCCTATCTCTCCCTGTTGCCACTCTGCCATATGTCTTGTCTGAACAACCAGCCTTCCTTTTTCCATTTGCCTCCTTGCAAGGCACACAACATCAAAATGATGTTTCAAAAATAGAATTAAAGGCCAGGCATGGCAGTTCACTTCTCTAATCCCAGCATTCAAGAAGCTGAGGCAGGACAGTTAGGCCACATAGCAAGACCTTTTCTCAGAAAATAAAATAAAAATAAAATGAAGACCATTCTCCTTACTTAAAACTCTTTAATGAATCCCCCTGGCATTTAGAATAAGAATTCAAATGCCTTGTTTTGGACTCAAGATCATAAATAATTCAGTTTCCAGGCTCTTCTGTGATAGTTTTTCCTCTAGCTACTTTGACTTTGTGTAGTCTGACTGCTTTTCTGTTTCTTAAACTGTACCAAGCTCCTTCCTGACCTAGGCACTTTGCATTTCCGTTTCTGTATGTCTGTCTAAATAACAGATAAGCTTCTTTTTTTTCTTCTCGATGTCAGGTGTAGCGTCATCTGTAGTGTTTCTTGATCCCCCTGCCTCTTTTGCTTCTCTACCAAATTTTTCTCCTCCTCACCTTTTATTTCCCCTCCTTTTCTTCTCCCTCCTCCTTCCCCCCAAAATATGGCTTGAAATATATAGCTTAGTGCAAAATATCTGGGTTCAGTCCCCAGTACAGAAAAGGCAAGGAAAGAAATCAAAATTTTGTAAGTCTTTTTAAGTGTAAATCCTTGACTTGGTCCAGAGCATTCTAAAACAATTACTTGTAATTATTTTAGCATATAACATATATCGCTAACTGATAAATATTCTTATTTGTATTACCACTCTGCCATTGTAATAGTCAACAGAATAAATTTTAATTTTGAATAATTTCTTAATGCCATCAAATAACGTCATTTTTTTTGAGATATGGTCTTACTGTATATTTCAGTTCAGGCTAGCTTTGATCTCACTATGTATCCTAGGCTGACCTTGAACTCACAGTGATCCTCCTGCCTCAGCTTCCCCATGCTGGGATTACTGATGTGCACTACTATCCCTGGCCCTTGTGTTCTTTAAATTTTTTAAATATTGGGTCAAAAAACATGTTGTTTTATTTAACTCAGTTCATACAAAGTCCATATATTGCATTTGGTTGATACTTTTTGTTTCTTCTGAAACAGTTCCCCTTTGAGGTCATGGTGATGAAACTGGGTCATTTTTATTAACTATCCTATATTACAAATTTGGTAAACTTGTGCTTATATTCTCCCATTTCCATGAAATAGTCTAGAGTCTCACTCAGATTCATATTCAGATTTTAAAACTAGAATACCTCAAAGATTGTGCTGTACTTCCAACTGTATCACATGATAAAGAACTTAGTTTCTTGCCAATCCTACTTTTAGGGGTGCTAAGCTTAATTAAGGAGTCTGAAGTAGTGCTATTTTTTTACTTAGTGACTTTAGCACTTATAGTGATTATTTGTCTAGATTTGTTACTGGATTCTCGGGTGCTAGGGACTCCTTCTAGAAGTTCTTTCTAAGTTTTTCTTGTCCTGAACAAAGACTTGGACAAAACAAACACAAAAAGTAGTGAGGTTTTAAAAATTTTAAAGGTGGTGGTTCCGCTGCCTACCTTGCAAGCACAAGGTCGTGAGTTAGATCCCTGGTACCAAAAAAATAAAAAATTAAAGGTAGGAAAAGGAACGTGATCTGCAGAGTTAGTGTGGGCCAATGAAAAGTAAGAAAAGAAGTACACTACAGAGTGAGAATGGACCACTGTGAAAGAGAGAACCCAGTGGCCAACAGTTTAATGTCAGCCATTTTTTGTATCCCTTACTCCTCAGGCTGACATCAGATCTAGGCCATCCTATTGAAAACCTGCTTGATTTCTCACCCAAAGAATTAAGGATAGCATTCTCTGATTGGTTCCTGGTGTAGGAATTTGTAAACTGTTTTTCTGTACATCTTCTGGATCTCTCTGATTGACACATCACTCCCACTTGCTCAGCTGGTTTGCGACACCCTACTTTCCTCTTCATTTCTCCCTGAGAGACATAAATTCCCCATTATTTTTTTACATGTTACTGAGGGCTAAGGTCTCTAGCTTCATATAATTACTTTGGGCTGAAAGGGGCTGTAGGCACTACCTACTGGGTTTTGCTTTCTCCAACTACCTTAGGATGTTATGGCTCACTGGCTGGGTTAGAAAGAAAGCCTGTTGGCCAGGGATTTAGCTCAGTGGTTCCACTGCCTGCCTTGCAAGCCTAAGGACCCGAGTTCGATCATCCCTGATACCAAAAGGGGACAGTGTTGGAAGACAATGACAAAGAAGAGTTGGAGGCTATATGTGAGGAATTGTTGCACTGAGAATGCTTGGTGACTTTATCATGGGCTGTAGTCTGTTTTTTTGTTTGTTTGTTTTGAGAGAGGGTCTCACTTTGTAGCTGAGACTGACATGGAACTCACTATGTAGCCCAGGCTGGTCTCGAACTCACAGGATCCTCCTGCCTCAGTCTCCCTAGTGCTGGGATTATAGGGATGCACCACCGCACCCAGCACATGGGCTATAGTCTGTTTCACCATTTGAAGGCTTGAACTTCACTATTAGGTTTGGGATACAGAGCTCAAATATGAGAATGAGTCAGAATATTTTTGTTTGTTTGTTTGTTTGTTGTTTTTTGAGACAGGGTCTCACTATGCAGTTGAGACTGACCCGGAACTCACTTTGTAGCACTAGGCTGGTCTTAACTCGAAGCAACCTCCTGCCTCAGCCTGCTGAGTGCTGGGATTACAGGCCATGTACCATCATGCCTGGCTAGGTCAGAATATTTCTTGATTTGTCTTAAAAGGTAGACTATAACAAATTCAGCTATTGGAAACATTAAGCATTGTTTTCACCTTTCTTGTGGAGAAGAAAGAATGATGAAGAGTAATATTAGATAAATTATCAAGTGCCTGAGAGCCATAGTTTTAGCAAAATTATCCACATTATGGATAATCTCAGTACAGGTGCGTGTTTAAGCTGTGGTGAATTAGGGGTTATTAGTGACTGTACCTCATCTGTGCTCAGAATAGAACTGGAGGCTTGCCTTTTGAAGAGGAATCTCAGGTCTTCCAGAGGGTTTATAGGAGTAGCTTTTTTCTTTTGAGTGGTCTTTTTTCTCAGACAGTTCAGGTAGAGGGGGCTTTTTTGGGGGGAGGGTGCTAGGAATCAAACTCGGGACCTTGAGCTTGTGAGGCAGGTGGCGGCACCACTGAGCTAAATCCCCAGCCCAGAGGTGGCTTTTTAATTGCCAGACCTCTCCAGTGTATGTCCTCTGAACAGGTTTGAACAAAGGAGATGATCTGAGCTTGCCAGGGTTAGTCTAAGCACAGAGTTGGCAAACTTTGCATACCTGTCTGTGGTCACAGCTGGTCCTTCTAGTCCTGTGAAAATTCAAGTAATTGTTTCTCATGTAGAGTTTTCATAGCTTTGCACTGCTTCCCTTGAGGAAGAACTGGTGTAATATTTCCTCAAAAACTAAGAATAAGGCTAGGGTCTTGAAGGGCTGTCAGGGTGCTCTTCTTGCCTCACTATAAGCTTCTTTGATTTCCCAAGGAGACTTTAAATATGTCTCTTTCATGTCTATTTCAGTGAATGACAGTTATCTGTTTGGGAAGATAGACTGCCTCCAATTTTACTTTTAAATCTCTTTCTAGTAAGAGAGTTAGACACAGAGAGACAATTAAAAATCTCTCGTTGAGGGCCAAGGAGTTAGCTCAGTGGCAGCACACCTGCCTAGCAAGCCCAAGTTCCTGAGTTTGATCTCCAGTACCGCCCCCCCCCAAATTTATGGTTGAACACTTGACTTTTGAATGACATGTCAGAGCAAATTTAAAGAAGCTCTGGTTAGAGGTCCCCTTGACCTCAGTTATGGCTCTCGATTTAGAGGAAAGTTTTTCAGAAAACAGTGTTCAAAGAGGAGCCAAAAGAAATTGCTTACCCATGATATCCAGGATTATCCAGGATTTTTTTTTTTTTTTGCAGGACATAGAAATGACCAAGAACAAGGGCATGGTAGGTTGTCTTGGGCTCCTTTAGCCATCTTAATCAGAACAGAAGGTGAGGAGGATTTGGGCTGGCCTACCACCTCTCTAGGAGTGGGGACAATCATCCAATGCCATTGAATCAGGCATGTTGGCCACCTGACACAAAAAGCAGGGCCTGGGTGGTAGCTTGGTACAGTCACATGCCCAGTGTCCAGTTTTATTGCAGGCCTTGATTGGCCCTGGGTTTTCCTTTGGATAACTTGAGTGTGCCTAAACATTGCCAATTATCACAGCCATAATTTTATTTTATTTTATTTTATTTACACATGTGTGTTTATTTTACTTAAGAGCATGTTCTCAATATACATCCATTTTCCTAGGAATGACTAGTTTCTCATTTTTTATGGCTGAGTAGTACTCCATTTTATAGAAAAACCACATCTTCTTTATCCAGTCTACAACTGATGGACAACTGGGCTCACAGCCATAATTTTAGTATGTCCTTTTTTCTCAGCTCTTTCTTCATCTAGATCCTGATGGTTGAAAACATACAAGATTGTGTCTAGCAATTGGGTTACAGATTTCTGGGGGCCCATCTATAAACTTAACAGGATCTTTTGAAAATATTGGCTGTCTCTGGGGCACTAGCACCTGGTAGAAACACCAGAGAGAGCATCTAAGGACAATATCATCAGTGATGCCAATTTTTCCCTTTGGTGGCCTCTTTAAATACATGGTTCTTAAGTCTCTGCAGAGAGGAAGAGCCAGAAAAGCCTTAACATAAGTGATTTTACTCCACTTTCATTGACTTTTGAAAAATAGTATACAGTTTAAGTGTGAGGTCACTTGGACTTGCAGAGGGTTTCCCATGGTGCATTGGCCCACTGACTCTTCAGAGAGAAGGGGAGAGTCCCTTTCCCCAGGGGCTTCCTCAGAAACTCCCAAAAGATAAGGCTGGAAGGGGAGGGCTCCATTAGCCACTTAAGAAACAGTAAATGCCTAAGAGATCTGAGCTGAGAGGGTTGGCAGGGGGGCTTCCCCTTAGCCACTTGAGAAACTTATGAGATCAGGGTGGAGCCCCCAAAAATATCTGTAACATCTGTCCCAATAAGAAAAGTTTGGTATTTTAAGGCAGTAGAGATAGAAACCTCTCTTTAGCATTTAAGAGGAAAAAAAAAAAGAAAACTTTAAAACGTCTAAGTATAAGGATAGCTTTACTTTGCATATTGCAGCCGCTTGAGTTGACCATTATTGGATGTTCCTTTGTTCTGTACAGGCCCTCAGCCTTGTGTTTCTAAATTACCTGAATTTCTATAAAAAAAAACAAACAAGGTGGGGATCTAACCTGATTGGGAAAAGTCTCAGGGAGGAGGGCCATGTTTCCTAAAGCAGAGGCTTTGCTCCTATCTGTAAGGGTGAGATTTCCTTGTGTCCAGCAGGTCAATTGAAAAGAAGAACATGAACAGGACTGGGGATTTGGCTCAGTGGTTCTGCTGCCTGCCTCACAAACACAAGAGCCCAAGTTCTATTCCCAGTACCAAAAAAAAAAAAAAAAAAAAAAAAAAAAATAACAAACATGGTATAACCACATGACCAATCCACATGACCGATCAATATTGCTGGAAACATGGCTGATCTATGTGAATTAGTCACATGGTGAATTAAAATGGATACCAAATATGGCAGAATGGTGAACTGTGATGAAACAAGGTCCTGAAACAGCAACTCACTAAGGATACTCCAAAGATAGGCCATCTAGGGGAAAAGCACAGATAATGAAGCAGGAAACTGTGGGGACCCGAGACAGACCACTCAATGAGAAGGTAGCAAAAAGTGGCTTATAATGCTGGCAGCTCATTGTGTGATTCTTGTCAGTCTTCAGAGCCCCAAATAGAAGTTCGCACTTCTTTATACACCTCTTTTTACTTCTACAAAGCTTAATTCCATTATAGTTTCCCTGGGAATACAGTAAAAAAGATTTACACAAAGCAGAACAGTGAAGGGCCCGGCAAAGAATTCTGGCAGTTTCTAGTCTGTTATGCTTCTTTGGTGACAGATTACAGAAGTTGTCATGGCTACTCAGGTACATTCTACATAGAGCATAGTCATGTAGTTAATTCATAGTTGCCTAATAACTCAGTTAGCCATAGTTTCCCAATCCTATATGGGGGGTGGTCTACTTTCTCAGTGAGACTTTGAGCACAAGCAGGCTCCTGAAAGAATGAGAAAGCTGAACACAATACTGGAGAATACTGAGTACAAAAAAGGCATTCTAAATTCTAGGCTGTGCACATGGAGCCTGGATGATCCATTCTGTGACTGGTTAATAACAGGCTGTCTGGGAACTTTACACTAAGTTATACCCACAGTGAGTGACTGAAAATGAGATAGAGACAAAGAAAAGGGGAGATAAACTTGAGGTGAACATTTGGGCCTTCTCCTGCCTGAGAAGCAGAGCAAGCACTTCCCTTTCTCTGTCCCATATGGTGGGATGCACCAGGGAATGGCTCCTAGAGCCGCAAGAAAACTTCCTGAATTTCCTGTCTTCCATTTATTTTTTTACCGCCATCTAGTTCCTTGCCTCTCTTCCATAACCACAAAAAAGGATTTGAGCCCACCTACAGATGAAAGCCCATCCTGGGAGACAAGGCACAAGAAGGGGATTGGAGCTTTCCCATGAGGGAGAGAGAGAGAGAGAGAGAGAGGTAAAGAAAATAAACTAAACCAGTTCTTCTTGGCCATAGATTTGAGAGAGAGAAAACTGCCCAAGGAGCCTTACTTGCTCCTGGCTGGCTTGGCAAAATTTGTTACCAGATTCCTGGGTTCTGGGGACTCCTAGATTTTTTTTTCTAGGTTCTTTTTGAACCTGAGCAAAGAATTGGACAAAACAAGTGCAAAAGGTGCTGTAGCAAAGTTTTATATCAGTAAAGACAGTAAAAGAAGCATAATCTGCAGAATGAGCGTGGGCCAATTAAAAGTAGAAAAAGAAATACACTTTGCAGGGCAAGAGCAGACTACTGTGAAAGAGAGAACACAGTGGCCAAGAGCTTAATGTCAGCCATCTTTTGTATCCATGCCTCAGGTTAATATCAGATCTAGTCTGTCCTATTGTTATGGCAGAGCAGAGCAGCTCTGCGCTATAGCCAAGTGTTGCAGCTCAGTGTCACAGCTCAGAGGCATAACTTACAGCTCATTGTTGCAGCCAAGTGCCACAGCTCTAAGGTACAGCTGAGCTTTACAACTCAATGTGGTGGCGCTCTGGGTCACAGCTCTCATTCTTTGAAGACTCAAGAATCGGATGGTCAGTTGAGATGAAGAAAAACCTTTATTAAACGTTCGAGACCTATACCTTCGAGGATTCTAAGTGCCCCTACCAGAAGTGAAAGTCTCCTTATATAGAGATCTACAGGGTAGGCAAACATGCTCATTGAAGCAGCGGGGTCAGAGTTACAGAACATTCCTGAAAGCAGATGGAGCTTAACAGAACCTTCTTGTGAGAGTTCAGAGCTTAACAGAATATTCCTGAAAGGTCACAGTTTAGTCACAAACCATTTTGATACACTGGGCAAGAGCCCAGCAACATAAATTTACATTTCCAAAATAAAACATTCTGTGGGAGAAAAATGGAGGCAAGTCAAGGGCCTGTCATTATATAGCACTTCTCTATCACTATCAAAAACCTGCTTGATTTCTCACTAGAAGAATTAAAGGTAACAGTCGCTGATGGGTCCCAGGTGCAGAAATTTGGGAACTGATTTTCTGCCCAATTCAGTGATCTTCCTGATTGATAGGTCATGCCCACTTGCCCAGCTAGTTTGTTACATTCTAACCTCCTGCCTCAGATCCACTATAAGTCTAAGAGTAGCTCAGTGTTAGAGCCTTTGAGAGTACTTGCCTAGTGTGTGCAAGGCCTTGAGTTCAGTCCCAGTACTGAGCAAAAAAACAAACCACTTCTAGGGCTGGAGGTGCAGATCAGTAGTAATAGAGCCCTTGCTTACTATGCCTGGAATCCTGGATTCAATCCTCAGCTCAAAAAAAAAAAAAAAAAAAAAGGAAGAGGAAAAATTATAAGAAGATAATTTTCTAATTGTATATTCCTTCTGTATTTTAAACAGAAGCTCATCTATAAAATAGACCTTTGAGTTATCAACTACAGTTTTATAGAGAAGGCAGTGACTTGTTTATTTCCCTTTAACTGTCAAAGTAGTGGATTAGTACCCTAGCAGTCTTAATTAGTGACCAATTAAAAATTATCATTATAATCCAGGCACAGTGGCATATCCTTATAATCTTGGTACTTTAGAAGGTTGAGGTAGGAGGATTACATGTTCCTAGCCTAGGCTACTTAAAGACTTACTAAGCCCCTGTTTCAAAATGAAAAGTAAAAAGAAAGATGGGGTTGCAGCTCAGTACAAGGCCCTCTGTTCAGTCCCCAGTACCATACACACAAAAATGTTATTATTACGAGATGAATTTGTACATTTGATTACTTTCAGTTAACTTCAGTTTTTAATCATTTAGTGCTATTTGACAGATTGTTTACTTTTTGACACAGTGCATTGAACACTACAGTTTATTTTACATATTTTCTGACCTGAATATTGATTTCATTTCTCTAAGGGTCCTTGGTTTCCTTTGCTGAGAAAGAGTTGTAATGAATTTTTCAAGGTAAAATGAATTATTACTTTTAGTCGATCTCTTGGCATATAGGATATATGTTAAATGTTCTCTTTTTTTATATCCTCTTATTAATTAGTCTAAAGAAGTGATTCAAAAACTGTGGTCCCTGGATGAGAGCTTTAGCATCACCAGGGAATTGGTTAGAAATATAAATTCTTGGGCCGGGGATTTAGCTCAGTGGTTTGGCGGCCTGCCTCGCAAGCGCAAGGATCCAAGTTCAATCCCCAGTACCAAAAAAAACAAAAACAAAAAGAAATATAAATTCTTAGACCCCACCTAAGAAACTCTGTGAGTGTTCCACTGACTGCCTTGCAAATGCAAGGACCCACGTTCGATCCCTGGTACAAAAAAAAAAAAAAAAAAAGAGAGAGAGAGGGAGAGAGAGAAAATAACTGTGAGTGAAACCCACAAATCTGTTTTAACAGTACCTTCTCATGATTTTAATGCACAGTAAAGTTTGAAAGCTAAGAGTCAAGAGTAGAAGTGTTTAACTCATCTGGTAAGAATGAAACAGGCATGCTGACATTATTTCTCAGGGTGGCAGTCAGATATACTGGCCTTCAGTGCCTTGTCCTTTCAAGTGTTATTTTGTAAAATGAGAATTAATGGAACTATAATAACCCATTTCTGAAATAAGCAACATATTATCTAGCCTTCTAAGGATTAGAACATATGAACATATACATACTTGTTTCACAGTAGTATTGCAACTACTTGTACTCCTTTATGCCAATTCTTTTGTTTTGTTTTTGGTACTGGGGATTAGGACCTTGCGCTTGCTCTTCAGGTGGTGGAACTACTGAGCTCAATCCCCAGCCTTCTTTTTTTGTTTTGAAGCAAAACATTTATTGGTACATTTTAGAAATACATAATGATGACTTTCATCATAGGGAATTTGCACCTGCACATGATATATCTTGTCTCTTCTTTTCTTCCCATTTCCCCCTCCCCTTGACCTCCCCCTCTTCCTATATGAAAAAGCTTTGTTTCTGTTTTCTTTCTTTTTTTCTTGTCCCTTCCTTCCTTTCCCCCTCACTTTCCTCCCTTGTTCCCCTCTGAACTATAAAAACCTATTTATGAAATAAACATCATATTACGTAGTCTTCTAAGGTTGTAGAACATATAAATATATACATACTTGTTTCACAAGATTTTCAAACTTCTTATACTCCTTTTTCTGATTCTTGAGAGTTTTTAAAGCCCTTGAAGAATTTTACTGAGGCAATTTTATAAAATGGTACCTTATAATAAATTATATCTTAGAAAGGAAATTTAGAACTGACAAGTCTTACAGACTTCTTTTATAATTTAAAACTGAATAAAAACATTTTAGTATGATACAGTATTGTTGAAAATGAATATACACAGAGAAGATGATGGATGCAACAACTCTTTTCAGGTTAGAAATGACAGGACTTGCCAGTTGCTTTCATTTTTTTTAGTGGTACCAGGGATTGAATTCATGACCTTATGCTTGTGAGCCAGGCACTGAGCTAATTCCCCAGCCCTGCCAGTTGTTTTCATATGGTAAACTAAGCTTTAGGAGGAATTGTCCAATTTGAATAATAGAATGAACTTCCTAAAACTATTGCCTTCCTACTAGATGAAGCCATCAAATAAAATCAAACATTTAGTAATTTTCAACATTTTATTTCAGGATATATTTGAAAGGTGATAGCAATTTTGGGGCAGATTGATAAGATAGGTATTAATTTATCTCATTTTGAAGCACAGGGACAATCAGCTACATAATATGAATTACACGAAAGCTTGGACTCTCACTAGCAGATACTGTATAATTCATTGTATAATTGTTAGACAAAGATACCTACAAATGCTGAAGGTGAGGCATGTGGTTATGATATGGTTAAAAGCTATGGTAACTTGTAAATCAATGTGAGATAATTTAGTAAATAGCATTTAAGGCAAATTTATAACAATTTTAATGGATGTTACTAAAACTAAAGAGATAATCTTAAGTTCAAAGAAGCCTTATAAATATTGTTCAGCTTGGGGGCCAGGGATTTAGTTCAGCGCCACTGTGCCTGCCTCACAAGCACAAGGGTTTGATCCCTGGTACCCCTCCAATATTGTTCAGCTCGATAATATATGTGAAAATGTTTCATAGTACAGAATATTTCACTTCAAAATAGTATAACATCTTTTACATTCATAAACTATATTTTAAAATTTCTGTTTATTTTTGTTTCTCAGATTTTTCAATACTTGAAAGTCTGTTATAGAAATATTCTAAATAAAGCCATTTTCATTAATTATTACACAAAAGATATCATAACAGTACATTTTTCTTTGAAAATAAGAAAATGAATTTTTCCTTAAACTTGGAGCATTGTATTCTTGTAGAAGAGATTTTGGAATTAATAATAAAAAACTTAAAGAACCAAAATATATTATCTGGTACGAGGGATTGAACTCAGGACCTTGTACTTGTGAGGCAGGCGCAGTGCCACTGAGCTAAATCCCCAGCCCAAGAACCAAGATATATTATGCAAAGGTACAAATTCCCAATAATGAATGTCAGCATATTGTATACCTAAAATGTACCAATAAAATCAATGGCTTAAAAAATAATAGCAAACAAGATTTATAAAGTAAAATTCAAGATTTGTAATAAAAAGTGATATAAGTAAAAATGAAATTATACCTAATAGTGAGGTACATTATATCAGACCTTTTTTCTTGCTTATGTAATGAGTTTTACTTTCAGTGAGTTTTTATCAAAAGAACAGCTTTTAAAAATGACCAATAACATTCTATTTAATATTTGGGTCCAAGTGTTTAATGGTCATTTATTTAAAATAGTTATCTCCTTGCTCAAGCTATCTTCTTTGAATTGTACTCTGGATCATTTAATCCCTGTCTCATAATAACGTGGATAGGTTTATCTTTTCAAGAATTTCAGTAATTGTTTTGTTATTTTAAATTTGTTATTAATCTATGAAGAATATGATTCATTATGTGTGGAAATCTTTCATAAATTCATATTCATCACATTTTTATTATTTCTAAGGATTCCGGAAGCCAACCTAATTTTAGTTTTTTGCTTTGTAGCAAGTGAAAATCTTTCAAGAATATAAGGTCCTTACCACACATAGAGATAGTTCCCTTTGAATATGTATATTTCATGGGTAACTAATAATTGGCTATATTGCACTGCAATAAAAACTAAATAGGCTCTACAACAAATAAAAAATATAGTTCTTGGGCCAGGGCTTTAGCTCAGTGACACTGCACCTGCCTCGCAAGCACAAGGTCCTGAGTTCAATTCCCAGTGCCCCCCCCCCGGTTATTTATATTTCTTTCCCTTCATGATTGGGGTTGGGGGGCTTCCTTTGGTAAAATACCCAGAAAATCATTCCAAGAAAATTTCATTCTGCATTTGTGCAGGAAAAAGATACTAAGTATCAGCTATGTTTCCATCCCTGGGAACTGAGAAAAATCATGGAATCAAAGATAGGAATGCTGGCTTTCACGTAGCATGAGAGAGTGAGAGAAACAGATAACAACAACAACAACCAAAAAAAACGGCTAGTAAAATGTATAACATGTTGGATAATGACAAGTAACAATGGAGGAAAAAAAATCAGGGAAAGAGAATAGAGTGTGTTAGGCCATTGAGGCTTCAAGTAGAGTGGTCATCAATAGTTTACCAGGGTTAGATGTTTGAAGACCTGAAGAAGATGAGAGACATATGTGTTAGGGTATCCATGGAAAGAAGATTCCAAAGTAAGCAAGTTCATAAACCTGTATGTAGGAGCATGCCTAGCATGTTTGAAGAGCAGCAGGGAATCAAAGTAGGGCCCAAGAGGAAGAAGAAAGTAGGGAAGCTATTGTAATAATCCCAATAAGAGATTATGGTGGTTTACAGTATTGTGATAGCAGTAGAGGTGGCAAGAAATCAGAATTTGATGGCAGTTGGACATTGTTAGTGGATATGTCTAGGACAGTGATGAAGAACCTTTTAGAGCTTTCAGTCATAGAAACAGCTCACTGTGGCACATGTGCTATAGGTTCACCACCTACCGGTCCAGCAAGTCCCCCAAAGAGGGGATGGGGACTTAAGTGTGCCTCATATACAGGGTAGGTTATAGGTTCACTGGCTTTGGTGACTTCTGCCACAGTAAAAAGATTTTCAAGACATTTTAGTGAGTGGAATAAGGAGGTTTATTAGAGAAAGATGTGAGCTTTCAATTGAACCATGGTATGGTCTGGAATTTGGTTTTTTGGTACCTGGGATCAAACTTGGGACCTTGTGCCTACGAGGAAGAGGCAGCGGGTAGCACCATTGAGCTAAATCACCAACCCTTGAAATTCGGGTTTTTATGTAGCCTTGGGAGTATCCTCAAAATGGGTGATCTAGGATATGTATTCCTACTTTCGTATCATCCATTTGGTGGGCTAGGTTATAATGTAAACCATTTGCTTGTGTTTTAAGTTTAGAAATGTGCTGCCCACTTAAATAGTGCTGCTTTCTTGAGGATGGAGATGTACTTGAGATGCCCATTAGTAATTAACTGTCAGTATGAATCAGGCAGCTGAATATAACATTTTGTGGCATTTGGAAGAAAGACTGGCGGGGGAAATCACTATGAGCACACTTGATGTATTGGTAAACCATGCTGGAGAGTAGGGAAAAAAATTAGGGGAAAAAGTCTTCAAGGAGGAAGATTGTTTTTTTGTTTTGTTTTTTTGTACTGGGGATCGAACTTGGGTCCATTGCACTTACAAAGCAGGCACCAAACCACTGAGCTAAATCCCCAGCCCACGGGAAGATGTGTTTTAAGTTGGATCTTTGATAATACTCTGTGAAAAAGGGAGAAAAAGGGAGAAAGGTAAAAAAAAGTCAGATTTATTTCTAGATATCCTAAGATTCTAGGACAATTTCCTAACTAGAATCCTCTTGTCTTTCCTTTACACTAATCAAACAGTAGTTCCACACAAAGTATCTGTTGATTCATAAATGAGAGAGAGTACCTAGCCCAAATGGCTTTGAATTTATGAGAGAGTGTCTGATTACCTAGCTTTAAACTTTCAATCCTCCTCACTCAGCCTTCTCTTGCTAGGATTATAAACATGTACCACCACTCCTAGATTTCCAAGGTTTTTTAACCAGCATTTAGTTATGGAAACTTGGGGGTTTTTTAAAGACTTTTCTTTTTCTTCATGGTAATAATTCTGCGTGAGAGTTACCATTTATAATCATGCATTTCAGCGTCATTAAATGCATCCTGAAACTTAGTTTTGTGTGTGAAAATGTTCTCCCTTCTCAAAATACTGGTTGTTATGAGCAAAGAGAACTGATACTGGTCTAAGAGCGTTGAACATTCTACAAATCTTAGAATCCTCATTTGAAACATTGGGCCAAGCAGAAAAACAAAAATGAAAATTATTGCCTCATTTCTAAAACCTATTTTTCTCATCTCTTGAAAACTAACTTTATATTTCTGTGAGTGTTATTTTTAGTTGTTTTGGTCACTACTTAAAATAATTTTAACATGTCTTATTAAATCTTAAAGCCAGGCACAGTGGCACATGTCTGTATTTTCAGCTACTTAGAAATAGAAATTTCTTGAGTCCAGGAGTTCAGGGCCAGCATGGGCAACATAACCAAGACTCTCTTTCAGAAGGGAGGGAGGGGGCCAGGGATTTAGCTCAGTGGTTCCTCTACCTGGAACAAAAAAAAGGGGGGGTAGGGAGTGATGGAGGGAGGAAAGTGGAAAGGGAAGGAAATTTAAAGTTGGGATACATTTATCAGGAGCCTAAAGAACTTTTAAAAAATGAAACAAGTATTCTTTGCTTCATAATTTATTTGCCTAATTTTTAATAAATTATACTTGCTTTTGCATTTTTGTAAATTATCTGGAAGGTGTGTGACAGTGTTTCTTTTGTGAATTGTGAACATAGGAAATTCTGTTAATTGCAGTGCTGCTTTCTCTAGGGAACAAAGAAGGAAGACATTGAAGGTGAAGAGGAAGTGTCTGGTTTAATTCAACCTGCAGAAGTGTTTGCTCCCAAAAGCCTGGTGTTGGTATCCAGATTAGATTATCCAGAAGTTTTTAGGGTAAAGAACTTATTTTTATTAATTTAAATTATTGTATAAATCTATTTTGAATGAACAATGGCAGTTTCTTTGTATTGAAAATATCATTAAATTGGCTTAGAGATTGATTTATAAAGTTAGCATGAGCAGGAGAAATAAATTCATGTTGGGTAAAAGGAATACCTGAATAAACTAATGTAACTCTTTACACCTCTAAGGATCCTTAAATCAGTCGCACATTAGTTAAATCCAAAAGTTGTAAATCCTAAAGAAATAATTTGATTACCTGTAGCAAATTTAAAATGCATTAGTAATTACAACCTTGTATATGTTTATTCAACTTATGAAGCGTTAGATTGAAGTAAATAGGATTGAGATTTCAGACAATCTTGACCATGCTGTTACCAGCATATCTTTAAAATATTGTTTACTTCCAGATTTTTTCTTTTTGATGAGAATTTTCGAATTTAAGAAAAAAATTATTAGCAATTTATGAAAAAGTTCTAGAAGGTGAGATAAGAGTCTAGAAAAATAGTATCAAGATTTCAGTGATAGTGGATAACTTAATGATTAATATTCAGTCACAATCATAATGATCGAATTTTATCTTCTATTTATCATGTGCCTTTTGCTGTTTATCTTACTATCTTCTCTATTTTGCTACTTTGTGCTTTAATCAATATAAGTTAAATTTTCCATTGAGTAAATGTTCTAGATTTATAAAAATCATAAAGTGAGATGAAATCTCTAATTTTTTTTAAATTTTGAATTTGGCATCCTGTAGTTGAAATAACAGGGCAAAACAGTAGAGCAAAAACAGTTGGATAAAGTAATTATCTGAGCACAGGCAACTGTTTTACAAATTAGAGCTGTCTGCTTTCTATAAATTCATCTCAGAAGCCCATTAGGAAGCCCTGGTCCATGAGGAAAATTTAATAAACTTAATAATGTTTGCTGCTCAACATTTATTCCATGTTCATGTAAAGTACACTTTAGTTGGTTCAAAGAGAAATTTTCCAGGAGCAGATGTCATGCCAATTTATTTTTAGTGGTTTTTCGATGAAATAACTGCATGCATCTTATCATTGCAGGCTTGCCTGGGTCTGATCTATACTGTGTATGTGGACAGTCTGAATGTCTCCTTGGAAAGCCTCATTGCAAACCTTTGTGCCTGCCTTGTCCCTGCAGCTGGAGGGTCTCAGGTAAACATAATAGACAATTAGCTAGAGAGTGGCTATTCCTCTTTCTCTACAGTTAATTGATGAGAAAGGAAAGGAAAGAATTCTTTATATATTTTGTTTTTCGTTTGTTTGTTTGTTTGTTTTGGGTTTTTGGAGACAGGGTCTCACCATGTACTTGAGACTGACCTGGAACTCACTATGTAGCCCAGGCTGATCTTGAACTTACGACGATCCTCCTGCCTCAGCCTCCCGAGTGCTGGGATTACAGGTGTGCGCCACCATGCCTGGCTCTTTAAATATATTTTAAAAGAGCATCCTAGTTAAGCAGTGTCCCTGTGATTTACCATCTAGATGCTTAAGATTCCATTCTTTTCTTAGGTTGTGAGGTTAATTTTTAACACAGGGTTCACCTTTCCTATAGCATAATTAGAAGTCATATTTTGTGTAACTTGAACTCTGTATTTTCTGGACATACACTTTTTTAAACTGAACTTTTAAATGAGCTCTTTCTATTTTTCTTACTTCCATGTATAATTAGACCTCATTTTTATTAACTTAAAATAAAAAAAATGTTTGACAACAATTATAAGACAACAGTAAGAAAACTTAACCATTTTGTTTTGGTAACATGTCCATTTCTCAATAGATTCCTTTATTTTATAGGTCTTGAGAGTCTCATTTGCCTCTGAAATAGAAAACTAAGACTTAGCTGCTATAATGTTTTTATTATTTCTAGAGCAACCATATTTTAAAAGGAATGGACTTGGGGCTTAGAGTATAACTTATTGGTAGAATGTATGCTTAGCGCCCACAAGACTGTAGGTCTAATCTCCAGCATCAAAAACAAAAAAAAACCCTCTTTTTCTTCTAAACCATGAAAGTTAGTTGATTATGTATTAATTAATCCATTTTATTATTTTTCCTTATTTTTATCTAATATTGAGGGAAAGAATAGTCTCCTAAAGATCACATTGTCCTCAGTCTGACAAATACATTACATACAATAAAATGTGCATACATTTTCTTTGCCCTTTGCCCTTTTAAATGTCCTCTCTCTTTCTTAGTTTTTTCTCTTAAATTGTTACCCTCTTTTTTGATTCCTGTTCTCATATTTCTCACCTCTGCTACAAGGGAAAAATAATAAGTGTGAACTTGGTCACAGTTGGGTCTAAACATTAAAGAAACAGAATTGTGTGGACCTTTACTAAAGTTTTTGAATTTAACTTGTACTACTTTTTAGTCATTTGTGAATGCCAGTGGGGTGTGAGTGTGTGTGATCTAAAAAATTTCAACTTTTAGTTACTGAATTTTCTTGTGCCTTTTTTTTTGGTACCAGGGATTGAACTCGGGTCCTTGTACTTGAGAGGCAGACGCCAGAACCACTGAGCCAAATCCCTGGCTCCTCTTTTGCCATTTTTGGTTGTATACAAAGTTACTTGAATATTTTGCATTATAAGATATTGCCCATTACATCTGTCAATTGGCTCTCGTGTGGTCATTTGCTCTAAAATTGAACTTCAAAGGGAGTTTTATTTTAAGAAAATGTCTGAAATCATTTTATATGTGTGTATTTCTTCCATTCTGCAGAAGCTGTTTTCCTTGGGTGCAGGAGACAGACAGTTGATTCAGACTCCTTTACATGATAGTCTTCCTGTCACAGGCACTAGTGTGGCTCTCCTGTTCCAGCAGTTGGGTATGTCTTTTCTTCTATTTTTAGTATCCTTTTGTTACAACCTGTAAAAGTTTGTATTACTTGATATAAATAAAAAAATATAAAACCATTAAATATCTTTCCCAACTTGGGGAGTACTGGGAAAAAGATAAGAGTGCAGTTTGTTTCCTGATTTCTGGCTGGTGAGTAATAGGCTGACGGGGGGCTTAATTTTGTGTCACATTATTGGGAGCAGGAGAATGAATTGTCCTGGTTTGGAAATCTGGGGACTACTGAGAGCAAAGAAGTTGGATACTATGGGCTGCAAAGTTTAGGTGTAAAAAGGCACACAACTTGAGGCTTATCCTTCGGAAGAGAGAGGTACATTCAGTGTTGAGGCTTTTTAGAGGGCTGCCTGCATATGAGAGGAGATATTGAGGAACTAGAACCATTATTCTTTTCTAATAGGAATATGAAATGGTATGGCTACATCGGAACATAGTTTAACTGTTTTAAGTTCAGCAAACCATGTAATCCAGCCGTTCCACTTCTAGGAATTTTACTCAAGGTAAATAATAGTATGTGTATGTAAAACTATTTTTTACATGAATGCCCATATTCATTTCACTTATGTAGTAAAAAAATTGGAAACATGATCAGTTTTTAATCAGTGGTAATGAATAACTGATAATGGAAATGAATTTATAAAATCTGGTTTATACATAAAGTGGGATAAACAATGCAAAGAAATGAGCTATTGATGGATACCATATAGATTAAAATGAAACTAATTATATTAAAAGAAAACCACTCGACAACAAAGAATATGTTTTATGATTTAATTTTATTAAGTTTTAAAAACTCAGTCTGAATGGGACCTGCAGGAGAGAAGAGAGTTCCCTCCCGGACACTGGTGCCTCACACGCCTGTGGGAGAGGAGAGAGACCCCGCCCATCTCTGCTTCATACATCTGAACCTCATGTGCCTCTGTGGTGAGGAGAAAATCTTTACCTCACCCCCATGCCAATACCAGCGCCTCAGGCTGAGCAGGAGAGGAAAAGGCCCTGCCCCACCTCTATGGCTGACACCAGTGCCTTGTGTACCCTGTGGGTAAAGAAAGAGTGTGCCCCACTTTAACCCCCATCACAGGCACCTCACAGCACAGAGCGGCAGTGATGACAGCCAAAAGGTTGATCTCATGGAGGAAAAGACCAACACTCAGGAGGAGAGTTTTGTCCCAGTACTCAAGTGTTACCGTGCCACAGAAACTGGGTGAGAGACAGCCTTGAGAGACAGGTTTGGAGGGAGTGAGAGCTAGACAGAGATCTCCTGAGATCCCCTTAAAAGCTCAGGCTTAGGCCAGGAAGATCACATGGACTGTATTCTGTTGTGTGAGGCCACATTTGGTCAATATAGTCAATATAGAGGTTGGATCTGAAGGAGATGGAGGGCCGGGGATTTGGCTCAGTGGTTCCACCACCTGCCTCACAAGCACAAGGACCCAAGTTTGATCCCCAGTACTTAAAAAAAAAAAAAGAATAAGATTGAAGGAGATGGAATTTAGTCTAACTGGTCTAAGCTTTTGTACCACTGCTTACATCCAGGAGAAACCAGAGGTCTAATTTACTATAGGTCGCTGTAGTAAATAAAGGGTTGCCTGAGTGCCTACACTAAAATCATAGACTTCTTTGCTCTGGTAAAGGGGTGGTTTCATAAGTAATTCTCAGAGTGTTAGTATCCCATTCATATTTAATGCAGTTGTTGTTACTGACTTAACTTCTATAGCTAATGTGACATAACTGGTGCTGTCAGTTGATTTTATCTGTACGCCAATATCTGGATTGTCTGGGAGTGCTAAACAGTACTGAAGCTTATTCTTGCAGAATGGGGCACTGGGCCAAAAAGCTGCAAACCCTTGCACAGAAAACAAATAAAAATTGAATACAAGAAAACGTGACAACAAAGTGCCTCCAAAAACTCCTAACTTATCCAAATCTGATCGAGGGGGTACAGATTGTAAGCTACACAGCTGGAATGTCTGAAAAGGTGCCAGTAGAGGTAACAAAACAGTTCAATAAAGTTCTTAACAGATTTCAAAGAAGATAGTAACTAAACAGATAATGACCCAAATGAAAGAAATGATCAGCAAGTCTAGAGAAGACTCTCATAAAATTCTAATGGAGCCAAAGAGATGTAAAACATGAACTTCCAACAAAGAAGAGAATAGAAGTTCATAAAAAAGTTCCAAACAGAAATCTAGGAGAGTAAAAGTACAAATGAAAGTCTTATCTTTCCATGTCTGGAATGTTTTCTGCTGTTATTTCTATACAGTGACCAGTGTGAGTACAAACTGTCAGATATAGAAAACTAGGCTGTGGTTAGTGATTAGTTAATGAAAATTATCTTAGAAACAATAAGAGAACATGAAAAAATGAATCAACAGCTGCTAGATAACTCAAAGTATACTAATTAATTTTGAATTAATGAAAAATCCAAAATCAACACAAAGGACATAAAAAAGCCTCTTTACAGAAATAGTAGGAGAAAACATTCTTGACATGGAAAGAGAATTTAACATACAGATAACTGAGCCGTATAGAACCCAAATAGCCACAGTGGAAAATCCACACCTGCCACATAATATTTAAAATAGACATTCAACACAAGAATTGAATCTTGAAACTTGTTAGAGGAAAGCAATGAATCACTTATAAAGGAAAATCTATCAGAATTACATCAGACTTCAAGGAAGAAAATTATGAAGATTATAGTAGAAATCAGTAAAATGGAAACTTAAAAAACCATTCAAAGAAACAGTAAATTGAAAACCTGGTTCTTTGAAAGAATAAACAAAACAGACAAATCCTTAGTCAAGCTTACCAAAAAAATGGAAAGAAAAAAATACAGATCAGTGCAATTAGAAATGAAAAAGGTAAAATTACAATGGATATCAATGAAATTCAGAAAATTATTAGCAACCATTTCACAAATCTATATGTCAAAAATTGGAGAACTCAGAAGGAATGGAGAGATTCCTAGAACAGATGAATAAAACTTGAACCAAGAAGACTTAAAAATCTTGAATAACCCAATAACAGGCAATGAAATTGAAGCAGTAATTAAAAACCTGCCAACTAAGAAAAGTCCAGGACCCATGGACTCACTGCCTAATTCAATAAGATCTTAAGGAAAGATCTAACACCAATACTTTTCAAAATCTTTAATGAAATCAAGTGGGACAGAATACTCCTTACATCATCCTTGAAAGCTAGCATTACCCTGATGACAAAATCAGACAAGGATCCAACCAAAACAAGAGAACTAACTATAGGCCAATTTCTCTAATCGATAAAATGCAAAAATTCTCAACAAGATACTGGAAAGCAGAATGCAACAAATCATCAAAAAGATTATATATCATTACCAAGTAGGCTTCATATCAGGAATGCAAGATAGGTCAGCATACACAAATCAATAAATGTAATTCATCATGTAAACAGAAGCAAAGATAAAATTCACGTGATCATCTCAATTGACAATAGAAAAAGGCTTTGACAAAATACCATATAAAACCCCCTGAAATAGGTGTAGAAAGATCTTATCTCAGCATTAAAAAACTACTTACAACCAACCTACTACTAACATCCTATTAAATGGGGAAAAATGGAAAGCTTTTTCTCTCATATGAGGAAACAAGACAAAGATTATCTGTTATTACCATTCCTGCTCAGCATAGTTCTCAAAACATTAACAAGAAAAATCAGGCAAGAGAAAGAAAAAAAAGAGAGATATGTACAGGAAAGGATGAGCTCACAGTATTATTATTTTCAGATGACATGAGCCTCTACTTGCAAAAACAGTTCACTAAAGACTCTTAGAATTAATAAACTTACCAGTGTCCCAAGATAAACACTCAAAAATCAGTAATATTCCTGTGCATAATATTGAAGTCACTGAGAAATTAGGAAAACAGTACCATTCATAATAGCATTCAAAAAATTAAATACTTAGGAATTGATCTAACCAAGGAAATGGAAGACCTCTATAATGACACTTTTATCACCCTGAAAAAGAAAATTGAGTACATAGCTCCTTGTAGTCTGATTAACTACATTCTTTTAAGATTGTGTACACTAGTTAGTAACCATTGTTATTCTCTATAATATTTTGTGATGAAATTTCTTTTATTTTTTTCATATAGTTTATTTTCTTTATTAATATCTACTTGCACTACATTAAAATTTAAAATAAATATATAAGTAAATGGCAGCTAATTTGCAAGCCAAAAAATGCAATCTGACCTATGTTGACAGAAACATCACTTGTGGGTGAAAAGACAGAGATTACAAGGGACTTGAAACTTTTTAGATAATTTGTGCGTAGAATTTTAATAGTGGTGTTCATTTCTTAGGTATATATGCCTGTATCACTTCTTGGCCTTTTGACTAAGATCAAGTTTGGTATATATGCCTATAAAAGCATATCAAATTCTAAAAGAAAATTTTAAAGCACTCAAAAACTTGTACATGAATGTTCACAGAACATTAATACATAATAGGCAAAAAATAGAAATAAATCAAATGTCAGTCAAATGGATGAATGGATAAATTTGTGTTAAATATTTATATCCATATAATGGAAAATTATTCAGCCATAAAAAGGAGTGATGTATTGAAACATACTTTAATGTGGATGAATCCTGAGAACATGTTAAGTGAGAAAGAATCTAGATAGAAAAGGCCACATATTGTGTGAAATGTATATAATAGACAAATCTATACAGATAGAAAGTAAACTGGTTACCAGGAACAAGAGGAAAATTGGAAGTAACAGCTAATGGGTATAGGTTTTCTCATGGGTAATGAAATTGTTCTAGGTTGATACTGATAATGGTTGCAGGCCCTACTGACTATACTAAAAACCATTGAAATGTACATTTTAAAAGAGTGAATTTTATGGTTTATGAGTTTCAGTAAAGAGGAAACTGTTAGAGCCTTGTAAAAATAACTCAGGCACCATCTTAAAGAGGCTGGATATAAGAT